CGCAGGGTGCCGGCCTGGGTCCTGCGCTTGGCTGGGCGACTCTCTTCCACTTCAAGGTCAACCCCGGAGAGCGTATGCGAATGTCCACTGTGCTTGCAGCCCCTCTCGGTGGTGTGTGGGGATGTGGTGACCCGCAGCTGACCCGCAGCTGACCCGCGGCTGACCCGCAGCTGACCCCCAGCTGACCCGCGGCTGACCCGCAGCTGACCCGCAGCTGACCCGCAGCACGGCGATAAAGGCTCTTGAGCTAGTCTTTGTCTCCCCCTGCTGGCCACTAGGCATCATCAGCCTGACCTGCCTTAGCGTCGCCTCGGTCACTAAAAGCTCATTTTCAAACCTGTGTTCTGCGGTGTGAGAACCGGCCTAGGGCCGCACACTCACTCGGCCTTTTCTTTGCCCATCACCCGACACCGACAAGGTAGCTGAGTGGAGGACCAGCAGATGGAATCACACCGTGCCGCAGCTACGGAGCTGGGACAGAGAATCCCCGAGTGGCGCTTTTCACTGGGAGGAGGTCACATTTATACACCGGAATGATTTCCAGGAGTGCCAATCTAGGAAGATTAAGACCCTGACACGGTGATGGCCAGGTTCAAGCAGCAGCGTGCTGGAAGCAGCGTGACGTGAGCAGGGGGTGAGGTGTCGCTCACCACGCGGGGTGGGGAACGCAGGGGAACCAGGCTCAGTTTACTCTGCTGGCTGGTGGAAAGCTTCGCTCTCCTCCCCGGGTGTCTGAGAACAGGAGTGTCTTCACTCTGGCCGCTGTGTCGCCGTGGGCTGACAGGGCAGGGGCGGAGGCAGAGGACACCTGGGTGTCCACAGTGGCAGGTGGATGGCCCAGGGCCAGTGATGGCGCAGGTGGGCAGGGCAAGGCTCTCCCTCTCGTCCTGTACCTTTCCAATAACATGATGTAAAAAAAAAAGGGGATGTGTGGCACAAGAGCTGGACGCCACTGAGGACAGCGACGTCCCGTGGCAGGGTGCTGGGCTTGAGCTCCCCTTCCGTCCAGTTCTGACTTGCTGCTACTTGTGTGCCCTGAGCCGAGCGGGTCCCCACGTGGGGGACTTGGACCCCTGGTTTACGCCAGGTCCAGTACCAGCTAGTGCAGGCATTTTGGGAATGAAGCAGTAAGCAGAAAACGAGCCTTTCTTTATTTTTCTTTTTAAATATTTATTTCATTTTTATTGGAAAGACAGATTTACAAAGAGGAGAGACAAAGATCTCCCATCTGCGGACTGATTTGAAGTCAGGAGTCTGCCATGTGGGTGTACCTCCTTCCCAGGCCATAAACAGGGAGCTGGATGGGAAGTGGAGGAGCTGGGATTGGTGTCCGTATGGGTTACCTGTGCTTGCTGGTGGAGGACTGGCTAATCTAGCCATTGCGTGGACTCCCCTCTTATTCTTTCTCTGGCCACTTCACCTTTGAAATAAATAAAAATAAACAGCAAAATGTGTTTTAGAAGCAGGGTCAATTTAAAAAAAAAAGATTTACTTATTTTATTGCAAAGTCACATATACAGAGAGGAGGAGAGACAAAGGGAAAGATCTTCCATCTGCTGGTTCACTCCCCAAGTGACCGCAATGGCTCGAGCTGAGCCAGTCTGAAGCCAGGAGCCAGGAGCCTCTTGTGGGTCTCCCACTCAGATGCAGGGTCCCAAGGCTTTGGGCTGTCCTGGACTGCTTTCCCAGGCCACAAGCAGGAGCTGGATGGGAAGCTGGGCCACCTGGATTAGAACAGGTACCATTTGGGATCCCTGTGCACTCAAGGTGAGGACACATTAGCCATTAGGCCACAGCACCGGGCCCAGGATTCAATTTTGACTTGAACATCTGGGTGGCTGAAAGTGCAGAGGAGGTAGCAGGAACTGTGTTTCCGGGCAAGGGGTGTGTGCGTGTCCTGCCAGCCTTGCAGGGGGCACAGAAGGGAGGAGACTGGCAATGGGAGAGTAATACTTGGGCGAAACTGGCCTGCGGTTCAGCTCTGGGAGCTCCTGGGAGGAGGCCAGAGGGAGCCACGGAAGACAGCCTCCGGGCGAGCTCTGGGGACCTCGAGAGGGAAGGAAATGCAGGCCAGGGCCGGCTGCTTGAGGCTTGCAGGAGAGCAGGATGCTGGAGGGCAGGGGCAGCATGGGCTGCTGAGGCTGAGAGCGAGGGACAGAGGCGGCCACTGGGTCTCGCTGGCCAGGAGGGCGGCTGGTGACCTCCATCCTCTGAGATCTCGAGCTGCCTCAGCCGGGAGGTGAGCAGGACCTGACACGACAGACTAAGGGCGGCAGGGGGCTTTGAGGGTTGCTGCAGAGAGGACAGAGCAAGGCCTGGGGTGTCCGGGGGCACCCTAACAGCAGAGGGATGTAGATGCTGTGATTGTGGGCACTGGGGGTGGGAGCACAGGCCTTGGAGGTGTGGTGGGGAGACAGGCTGCTGACAGGGGGAAGGCCCAGCTGCGCTGGTCTTTAGGAGCTGGGAGCCAGAGGGAGGGAATTGAGGCAGAGAAGCTGGCTGGAGGATGGGCCCTGTGTTTGTTCTTCTCTCCTGCCCACTGGGAGGCATGGACCCTGAGGGGACTTAGGGGGCTGGGGGTGCTGGGACCCCACTGCTGGAAGGATGGGAACTGAGCACCCGAGAGCAGGAGAGATGCTCGGCAATATGGAATCGCTTTTAAGATTTATTTATTTTATCCCACTCCTGACATGAAAGTTTAAAAAAAAATTATTTATTTTATTTATTTGAAATGCAGAGTTACGGGCCTGGTGGGATAGATGAGCAGCTAAATCCTCGCCTTGCATGTGCTGGGATCCCATATGGGCGCCGATTCATGGCCTGGAGGCCCCGCTTCCCACCCAGCTCCTGCCTGTGGCCTGGAAAAGCAGTCGAGGATGGCCCAAAGCCTTGGGACCTGCACCCGCGTGGGAGATTCGGAAGAGGCTCCTGGCTCCTGGCTTCAGATCGGCTCAGCATCGGCCATTGCAGCTGCTTGGGGAGTGAATCATCGGACGGAAGATCTTTCCCTCTGTCTCTCCTCTGTAAATCTGCCTTTCCTAAAATTAAACAAATCTTTTAAAAAAGAGGAAGACATGTGGAGTTACACATAGAGAGGGACACACACACATCTTCCATGTGTTGGTTCACTCCTCGAATAGCCACAACAGACAGGGTAGGACCAGTCTAATCCTGGAGCCTGGAGCTACTTTGGGTCTCCCACTTGGGTTCAGAGACAAGGTTTTAGACCGTCCTCCACTGCCCTTCCAGGGCACAAGCAGGGATCTGGATGGGAAGTGGAGCTGCTGGGATTAGAACTGGTGCCCATATGGGATCCCGGTGCATGCAAGGTAAGGACTTTAACCACCAGGCTACTGCACCGGGCCCCAAATTCTGCACTTTCATCAAGTGTACATGCTGTGTACACACGTTGGTCCCATCACTTTGTATGAAATATGATAACAACTCTGATTTTCCCGTGTGGCATATCATTCCTTTTTTTTTTTAAAGAAGATTTATTTATTTTTATCAGTCGGATATACAGAGAGGAGTAGAGACAGAGAGTCCGATGATTTGTCCGATGATTCACTCCCCAAGTGGCCACAACAGCTAGAGTTGAGCTGATCCAAAACCAGGAGCCAGGAACCTCTTCTGGGTCTCCCACATGGGTGCATGGTCCCAAGGCTTTGGGCCATCCTTGACTGCTTTCCCAGGCCACAAGCAGGGAGCTGGGTGGGAAGCGGGGCCTCCCAGGTCACAAACTGGTGCCATATGGGATGTCGGCGTGTGCAAGGCGAGGACTTTAGCTGCTAGGCTACTGCGCCGGGCCCGTGGCTTGTCATTTTTGCCTTTTAGCAGCCAATCCAAGACGTGGAGACCATTCTGAATTAACCAGAAGTTTCAGGATTCCGTTCCGTTCGGAGTGGCTGTAATTGCCGCCCACGACCACACGATGTCGCTGTTGACGTCTGCGCACAGTCTGTCCACTGGAGCTTGTGGGGGCCAAGGAAACTTCCTGAAAATGCACCAACTTCAGCTGGTGCGGTCCTAGCCGTGAGATTCCGAGGCTGTGGTGCTCCGTTCTGCTTCCTGTCCCTTTGCTGCTGTGCGGGGTGCTGCTTCAGCATCGCTGGGTTTCTTTGGCGCCTGTGTTGTTTTTGGCTGTCGTTCTCTGCTGTATCACCTGCTGAGTTACACTGGTCCGTCATCCAGAACCTGGGGTTTTCAATGCCTTTGTGAGAATTCACATCCATTGCTTTTTGGAAATTTGTTTCTAAAGATTTATTTATTTGAAAGGCAGACTTTCATAGAGAGAGAGAGAGAGAGGGAGAGACACAGAGCTCTTCCATCCGCTGGTTGACTTCCCAAATGAATGTGATCATTGGAGCTGCGCCAGGCTGCAGCCTGGCGCCAGGAGCTTCATCTGGGTCTCCTGTGTGGAAACAGGAACCCAAAAAACTGGGGCCATTCCCTGCTGCGTTCCCAGGCCACTAGACGGGACTCGAATCCCCGGTGTCTGCTTGAGATGCCAGTGTTACAGGCATCAGCTTAACCTGCCCCCTGGTGCTGGCACCCTTGGGCGGCCCCTGCCTCCTCTGGGGTTTTGCAGGCAGGGACCGAGCAGATGAAGCCTTCTCAGACTCTAACCCCACACCTGCTGCCTGCCCTGAGCAGGGGCAAGGCCCGGCCTCCGCCCAGGACTTCTGCAGGCAGCCTGGCCCTCTGTCAGCGAGGGGGGCATCTGCAGGCTTGTCTCATTTCCTGCCCTGGTCACTTCTCTTTCACACTGCTGTCCTGTGGTTGCAGGTCCCATCACGGGGCGCACGCAACTGCCTGGTTCCCCAGAGTCGAGTTGCCAGTGGCCCTCTTCCCCCGAGCAGGCCTCCTGGGCTGAGGGTGGTGAAACCCCACCGGCCACACTGCGGTGGGCTCGGCGGGAACCTGCGAAGGGAGCCGCCAGCCAGTTCGGGCTTTAGCCCTGCACCGCACCGTGCGGGGACGGGAGCCTCCAGTGTGGGGTGATGTCAGCCGAGTGGCCCGAGTCTGGGCCAGAAGGGCTGCAGGGCGGCCAGTCCCCGGGGCCAGGCCAGAGTCAGGGACCCTCAGCGGCGGGTCGGGGTCCCCTGGGGGCCCCCTGGAGCGTGCCCCCCTGGAGAGCGCACACAGCCGCTGCTGTCCTCTGCTACGTCAACCTGTTGAATTACATGAACTGGTTCATCATCGCAGGTGAGCAGGGCGTGGGGCGGGCATGCTCCTGCCCTCACTCATTCATTCAGCTTGCTTGTCTTCTGTCATTCATTTATTTATTCTAACCTTTTCTTGAGGTAGGGACTAAGAGGAGTTGGGACCTACAGATGCCAGGGCAGAGGGAAGAGGCTTGGGGCCAGCAGGTGTGGGCAGACAAGAGGGCACTGGCCAGGTGGGGCATTGCTGGTCACCCCTGAGCCCGGGCTCTGGTCAGCAGTGGCCAGCTGGATTCACAGGGAGCGGCTGTGGGTCTTGGGACCCTGGGGAGGCTGCAGACAGGGGAACACATGTGCAAGTCCCTTGAAGGTGACCACCAGGCCTGATGGCTGAGGGCTCAGGGACAACTCAGAGGCAATGGGCCGTGTGGGTTGCACTGTGAAGGGTGGAAGGACAGGGGTTCAGGGTAGGGAGGGAATCTGGAGACTGGGGTCAGTCCGATTTCAGATTCACAAGTGGAGCGTGTGCGCTGAGTGGGGGTGGGAGGGAGGACAGAGAACGGGTTTGGGGCAAGTTCGTGAGCTGCCAGGGACCAGGGAGAGCAGGAGCATTTTTTTTCCTTATTTGAAAGGCAGCACTCCAGAAAGGAGAGACAGAAAGATCGTCTATCTTCTGGTTCACTCCCCAAATGGCCTCAATGGCTGGAGCTGAGCCAATCTGAAGCCAGGAGCCAGGAGCCAGGAGCTTCTTCTGGGTCTCTCACACAGGCATGGGGTCTCAAGGCTTTGGGTCGTAAGCAGGGAGCTGGATGAGAAGTGGAGCAGTTGGAACATGAACCAGCACCTATATGGGATGCTGACGCTTGAAGGTGGAGGATTAGCCAGTTGAGCCATGATGCCAGCTCCAACTCTTCTCTCTCTCTCTCTCTCTCTCTCTTTTTAAGATTATTTATACAGCAAAGATACAGAGGGACAGAGTGAGAAGCCTGGACCTGGGGATTCAGGCCGGGTCTCCCACATGAGTGGTAGGGATCCAACCATATCAACCATCCCTGGCACCCGTAAACAGCAAGCCTCTGATGAGCAGTGCGGGCACCTGAACTGGCATTTCCACCTCTAGGACCCATGGTTGCCCTGTAAGGGGGCCTGAGTACAGGGATGTGCCGCTCACGGAGGCAAAATGATCGGGGGCTGCCAAGCAGTGCTAGGCCGGAGGACAGGTCGAGGGCAGGACAGGAGAGGTGCGGCTGGCCCTTGCCTGCCCCTCACCTGGGCTGTGTGTCCCGGGAGTCCTGCCTGCCACTGCCCTCCCTCCCAGGACTGCCTCTGTGTGTGGGTCCTGGGAGCGGGTTTGCAGAAACCAGCCCCCCTACCACCTCTCGTTCCCCAAGCCTGGTGACTGGGCCGCGTGGCCGGGAGAGCCCAGGAGAAGATGGCAAAGTGGGTTGAGTCCCTATTTCTGTAAGGACTGTTTGTTGACTGACTTACACTCCGGGCTTGTGTCTGCTTTTTCACTCCTCAGTGCCTGCTGTGTGGGGCTGCTGTCACCCCACGGGGGCTGGGACGTCCGAGGGGAGGGTAGGTATACTGCGGTGTGGTGGGCTAAGCCACACTTACGAGTCTAGCGCTGTGTGAGTGCAGATTCCAGTCCTGGCTGTTCCACTTCTGATCCAGTTTTCTACTTACGCTCCTGGGAAAGCAGCGGAGGACGGTCTGAGTGTTCAGGTCCCTGGGCCCATGTGGGAGACCGGAAGGGAGCTCCCAGCTCCTGGCTCTGCTGCGGCCCAGATGTGGTTGTTAGAAACTTTTGAGGAGACATTTGGAGAGTGAAACAGCAGATGAAAGATTCTCTCTGTTGGACCCGGCGTGGTAGCCTAGTGGCTAAATCCTTGCCTTGCAGCTGCTGGGATCCCATATGTTCTTATCCCAGCTGCCCCCCACTCCCCATCCAGCTCCCTGCCTGTGGCCTGAGGGAGCTGAGCAAGATGGCCCAAGTGCTTGGGACCCTGCACCCATGCGGGAGACTCGGAAGAAGCTCCTGGCTTTGGGTCAGCTTGGCTGTGGCCATCACAGCCTCTTGGCGAGCGACCCAGTAGACAAAAGATGTTTGTTTTTGTCTCTCCTCTCTGTACATCTGCCTTTCCAATTAAAGAAAAAATAGAACATTTTTTTTCCTAAAGATTTATTTATTTTTATTGGAAAGTCAGATACACGAGAGGAGGAGAGACAGAGAGGAAGAAAATCTTCCATCCGCTGATTCACTTCCCAAGCAGCTGCAGTGACCAGAGCTGAGCCAATCTAAAGCCAGGAGCCAGGAGCCTCCTCCAGGTCTCCCATGCAGGTGTAGGGCCCCAAGGCTTTGGGCCGTCCTTGACTGCTTTCCCAACCAGGGAGCTGGATGGGAAGTGGAGCTGCTGGGATTAGAACCAGTGCCCATATGGGATCCCAGTGCATTCAGGTGAAGCCAGGACTTTAGCTACTAGGCTACCGTGCTGGACCCTAAATAGAAATTCTTTTTTTTTTTATTAATAAAATTTATTTTTATATTCTTTACATACTTAGAGTAAGAAGGTTCAAGGGCTACAGGAAAGTGGATAATACTAGTATGTTTTCCATATTGTTACCTTCATGTTTAAAAGGGGGGTATTAAGGGAGAAGGCCCACCCAATTTCCCACCCTCCCCAAGTCCCGGGTGTAGGGCATGCTCTGAGGTTCTTGCTCGAGTGGTTTTGATGTTGCAACAGTTATGAATCGCTGTCAATCTTGCCACTCCAAGCACTATGAGGTCTTTGAAAAATCCACTGATTGACATAGTCCATCATAGCTGAGATGGTTGGTTGACCTGTTCTGTCTTCTCTCTTTTCTTCATTAGGGTTCTGAGTCCAGCATTTAGATTAGGAAGATCTCCAAAGAAACTTCTTGTATGTGCTAACAAGTACAGGGCCAGGCACAGGTTATCTCTGTTTCTCTCTCTAATTCTGTCATTCAAATAATAAATAAATGTTAAAAAAAAAAACGCAAGAGGGAAAAGGACATAGTAGTTAACACATGGGGATGAATGCTGAGACAATTGGCCCAAATCAGCTGTCCCCTCAAACATATTTAGCATCATGGCTCCAAGTGGTTGCTCTCCAGCTGTCTGTGGGTATGTCCTGGAGCTGTGGGCACTGGGCCCTCATGGGCTTCTGCTCCCACCTTTGCTGCTGCCTCTGGTCAGGATCCGACTAGCAGCCCCAGTAAGGCGTCATGGGCAGCTGGAGCCCGTTTTCTGCATCCTGGGGACAGTAACAGCGCCTGCCTCCCCTTAAGATGACAATCACATGGCTGTGTCCATCGCTTGCCTCTCCCTCTCCCCTGTCTGCAAGGGACAATGACAGGAAGACAGCCACAAGCGTCACAGGAGCGGGTGCCACAGGTCCAGGCAAGGCCTGAGGACCTAAGGTGATTTTAGGGAGCAGAGCCTGGTGTCGGGGGGCTCCGATGCTTTGTCTGCCGTAGCCTGGAGCTTTGTAAGACGTTGCTGGGGTCTCAGGCTTCTGCAGGACTGAGCAGGGTTTTGGCTCGCTGAGGGCATGGAGACTGAGGTTGGGCCCGAGTTCTGGAAGCCTCTGTGTGAGCTTTCCCATGCTTGTGCGAGAACAAGCCTGTGTGGGTATGTGTTCCGGCCAGGTGCTGTATGCCTTGGCATGAACACGCTTGCACGTGGGTGTGTGCATCCACGAGTGGCTGTTGTGCACTTGCTGCGTAGTGCAGGTGCGGGGGCTTGCACAGCTGGGTGAGTGTGCACAGCGCACCGAGGAGCTGCCCGCTGCTCGGGATACGGGGTGAATGGCAGCCCGCATGTCGGTGCGTCCTGCTCAGTGTGTGCGCATGTGAGTTCAGGCTCCTGCGCCTTTGCAAATGTGTTGGTGTGTACACGTGAGGGCACTTGGAAACACTGGTGGGAAAGGAAAAGAAAACCCAAGATGAAATGAAGGCAGGTGTTGGCCCAGCGGTCAGGGTGCTGCTTGGGATGTCGGTCTCTGGGGCCTGATGCTGGCGTCCTCCCACTGCACACACACTGCGAGGTGGCAGCGGTGGCTCAGGTGGTTGGTCCCTGCCACCGTGTGGGAGACTTGGACAGAGTTCCCCACCCACTGCAGGCATCTGGGAAGGGGGCCGGCTCTCTCTGTCTCTCTCTCTCTCTGCCTATCACATAAATACATAACAAATTTTTAAAAGTTTACAGAAAAATGGAATTAAAAGATAAACTTTAAAAAGTTTGAAGCATGTCTTTTTCTTGTTTAAGAATAACAAATTTCTACCTTTTAATTATTTTTATTGGGAAGTCAGATATACAGAGAGAAGGAGAGACAGAGAGGAAGATCTTCCATCTGCTGGTTCACTCCCCAAGTGGCCGCAGTGGCTTGAGCTGAGCTGATCCAAAGCCAGGAGCCAGGAGCCAGGAGCCTCTTCCGGATTTCCATGTGGGTGCAGGGTCCCAAAGCTTTGGGCCGTCCTTGACTGCCTTCCCAGGCCACAAGCAGGGAGCTGGATGGGAAGCGGGATTACCGGGATAGAACCGGCGCCCATATAGGATTCCAGGTGTGCAAGGCGAGGACTTTAACCACTACGCTATGGTGCCGGGCCCTCTGTTTTTTTCATAATGAACACTTTACAGGAACTCTTTGAGAAGTCCTCAAACACCTGGATTTAAAAAATTTTTCATATCAAAATAATCTTTTGATTCCATTTTTTAGACATTTAAAAATATGCGTTTATTTGAAAGATAAAGTTGAGACAGAGAGATCTCTACCTTTTTGTTCATTCTCTAAATGACTGCAGTCACTGGAGCTGGGTCACTCTGAAGCCAGGAGGCAGGAGTTTCTGCCAGGGGCCCAAGGACTTGGACCATCTTTGGCTACTTTCCCAGGCACATGAGTGGAAGTGGAGCAGCCAAGACTAGAACCAGTGCCCATAGGTTGCCAGCCTGCAGGTGGCAGCTTAACTAGCTAGGTCACGTCACTGGCCCATTTCCACACATTTAAAAACGATTTCTTTATGTCTGTATTTGATTTGGAAGGCACAGAGACTGACACCTCCATCTTGTGGTTCACTTGCCAAATCCTGCGATAGCGGGGCCCGCGGGCTGATGCTCCAAGCCCTGCACGCAGGCTGGATCTCCCACACAGGTGCCGGGCCCAGGCACTCAGCCATAGCCTGCCGCTTCCCAGAGGGCACCTTAGAAGGAAACTGGAGCCGTTCTGCGCCCTCCATGGGTGTCGGAGGTGCGGAGCTGGCGGGGACGTGCGGGGACCTGGTGGTTCATGCCCAGGCAGGCAGAGCGAGCGTGGGCATTTCCCCATGTCCTTGGGCTCAGGTGGGGTGCGGGGTGAGGGGAGGGGAGAGACCTAGGATAGTCTATGAACCAGCATAGGTTCCAGGAGCTTGGGACCCTGGTGGGCGGGCAGAATTCCGGGCCAGCACACCATCCCACAGGAAGATGGGGCTTAGGAAGGCTGGGCTGGGGGACCCAAGCACTCCAGGGTGCAGTGACAGTGTTAGGGGAAGGAGCAAGGGAATGTGGGAGAGAGGACCGCTGAGGGCATGTGTAGCAGGTGAGGAGTGACTTCTGAGGGGCTTCCACAACAAGGGCGCTGTGCTTACAGGAGTGACAAGATCGACAGCATTTCAGAATTATTGACACCACCTGAGCAGGGCCTGCTCCATGTCGGGGACCCTGCGATGACATCGGGCGGCCGTTCCCCATCCCAGGGTACTGGGGCTGTTGGGAGGCTCCCTTCCCCCTTCCCCCAGATGCAGAACGAAGAAAAAGAAAATTTGGAAACAACAGCCTCACCCACTTTCCCCTAATCAACTATGTAAACATCATCAAAAATAAAATTTATATAAAGCTAAACAAAGAAAGAAACAGGAATTCACAAAGAGATACAGGGATCTTCTACCTACTGATTTGCTCCCCATGTGTCTGCCATGGCCATGAGTGGGACAGGTTAGAAGCCAGGCGCCTGGGACCCAGGTCCTCTGTGCTGGTGCAGTGGCCTAGGTGCTTGAGCCATCCCTTCTGCCTCCCCGGAGTGCTCACTAGCAAAAAGCTGGAATCTAGAAGCGAACCAGGCATTCCGACAGAGTGTCCCAGGTGCTGCGTGACCCGCCCCCCCCGCCCCCCGCCTCTCTACCGGCTCCCCAAATGCCCTTGTATGTGTCTCTGCATGTTTATGTACGCATGGTTGTATGTGAACACACACACATGCATGTGCCTCCAGGCGCTTGCATCCATGCGTGCTGTGCTCAGGAGTGTGTGTGAGTACGCATGTGCAGGGGGGCACCCTCTGGGGGCTGTGCAGGCCGCTGCTCATTCCCTGGACGCCATCCCTGCCCTCAGGAGTTCTGCTGGACGTGCAGGAGACTTTTCAGATTGGTGACAGCCACGCCGGCTTACTTCAGACGGGTAAGGAGTGTGGAGCTGGGGCCGTGAGCTTCTGCTGGCTGGGAACGCTGCCCCGCTGTGTCCCCTGGCATAGAGCAGCAGGTGGAGCATGGGGAGCAACCCCTGGATGGAGGGAAGTGTGCAGGCCAAGTGAGGGAGACAGGAAAGGTCCCAGCACCCGCGGTAGCTCAGAGGTGTCCCATGTGTGCACACACACTACATGTGTGCACCTGTGTTTATAATACATGACACCCGTATGCCTGCCCGTGTGCGCACACCTGGGCACCTCCAAGCTACAGTCAGCATTAGGGTTTCTGTCTTAGGACTCTCTCTCTGCCTCACAGTACACCCTCTCCACACTAGGAACATGGCTCCCCAAGGGCTGTGCAAAAATCACCGGTGGCATCCTGAACACCTAGTGTGGAGTGGAGGGAGCTGTGTGCATGTCCCGAATTCTGTGCCTTTCGTTTCTGACACGGATCTGCCTGTGAGCCCACGTCCACTCATCCTGTGGGTTCTCACACCCCCTCCCCTTTACAGGACCTGGCTAGCTCTTTTAGTTAAAAACAAACATGGGCCTGGCACAATGGTTTGAATGACTAATCCACCTGCTTCAAGCGCCGGGGTCTGTCTGTAGATCTGCCTTTCTTTTACTTTTCATATAATAAGATTATGTTTTATTTTATTTTATTTTTATTGGAAGGTCAGCTATACAGAGGGGGGGAGAGACAGAGACGAAGATCTTCCATCCAGTGATTCACTTCCTAAGTGGCCACAATGGCTAAACTGATCCAAAGCCAGGAGTCAGGAGCCTTCTCCACGTCTCCCATGCGAGTGCAGGGTCCCAAGGCCTTGGGCCGCCCTTGACTGCTTTCCCAGGCCACAAGCAGGGAGCTGGACGGGAAGTGGAGCAGCTGAGACTTGAGCCAGTGTCCATATGGGATGCTGGCACTTGGAAGATAAGGAAATCAACTGAGCCATCGCGCTGGGTCTGTTGACTGCTCTTACAGAAAGCTTGCTTCCATCCACTGGCTCACTCCCCCAAATGCCTGCAAAGCCTGGGACTGGGCCAGGCCAAAGCCAGGAGCCAGGGGCTCTGCGTGATCTCCCTCATGGGTGGCAGGAACCTAAGTCCTTGGGCCACGACCTGCTCCTGCCTTTAGCAGGAAGTTGGACCTGAAGGTCCAGCAGCGACTCCAACTAAGACCGTCTGATCTAGGACACTGGCGTGCCATCAGCATCCAGTGCTCTGTCCCTCCTCTGGGCACATGGCCATGTCCTGGGTCAGGCCTTGTCTTGCTGTCCCGCTGTGCCCTGTGCCCGACTGTCTGCGGCTTATCTATACTGAGAATCTGGGAGGGAGATAGTGTTATCAGCACTGACTTCACTGAAGAGAAGGAAGCTGGCGTTTTTTCTTAGATCTGAGCGATTGGTGCGGCTGGGTTGGCTCAGGAGCCCCGGCTTAACCCTTACATTCTGCAGACACGTCTATCAGCTAGGAGAACTCGGTCTCCAGCCCCTAGGATGTGGCTGAAAAATACAGCTTCAAGCGGGTTTTCTCCTTTGTCTTGCCGGCATTTGTCCCAGGACCCCCATCCGGATGCTCCTTATGGAATTTATGGGCGCTCTTATAAGATAGTGTGTGTGTTTGAGGGGATGTGGGGGGACCTTTGGCATTGCTTGGGACACCACTTGTGGAGTGTGTGAGCTCCAGTCCTTGCTTGACTTCCGGTCTAGCTTCCTGCTCACTGCCCATCCTGGGAGGCAGGGGGAAGGCTCAAGGGCTTGGGTCCCTGCCGTTGATGACCTGGGAGGAGGTTGGGAGGTTGGGAGACCTGGGTTGATTATTCTGGGTTCCTGGCTTTGGTCTGGCCCAGGCCTGGCTGTTCTGGATCTGAGTGCACCTGAACCCGAGGATGGGAGATCTTTCTTTTTTGTCCTTTCTCTCTGTGTCATTCTCCAAATAATCTTGACCTTGTTTTTTTTTTTGTTTGTTTTGTTTTTGTTTTTTGAGGAGTGGAGTGGGGCTCTGGAGGGAGAGCTTGGGGGGGAGAGCCCTGCTGGCCCCTGGGCACTCTGTCGGCCCTAGCTCTGGGTGGGCTGTGGTCAAAGTGAGCCCACCTGGGCACAACACTGTGAACAGAGTTCACACTTGCAACGGAGTCAACCTTTTCCTTCCCTGGTTCTGGCCATGGTGCTCACGGCTATGACACCAGGGGCCCTGAGAAGGGAGCAGTATGGAAGCACTCAGGGATCAGCCCCCAACCCCAACTCCCTCCTCCATGGACCAGCAAGACAGCTGGAGGCACTCATTAATACCAAGACCAGGTCCTTACCAACTGCCAGGCACTATTCTTTTATTACTATTATTTTTTAAAGATTTATTTATTCTTATTGCAAAGTAAGATATACAGAGAAGATGAGAGACAGAGAGGAAAATCTTCCATCTGATGATTCACTCCCCAAGTGAGCGCAACGACTGGAGCTGCGTTGATCCAAAGCCAGGAGCTCAGAGCCTCCTCCAGGTGTCCCATGCGGGTGTAGGGTCCCAAGGCTTTGGGCCGTCCTCAGCTGCTTTCCCAGGCCACAAGCAGGGAGCTGGATGGGAAGTGGAGCCACTGGGATTACAACAGGTGCCAGTATGCAATGCAAGGCAAGGACTTTAGCTGTGGAGCTGCCGTGCCAGGCCCACCAACAGTAAATCATTTCAGCTTTGGGACAGCCCCACGAGGCACTGATTCTTAATAGGCCCATTTTATGGAGGTGGAGGCTGAGGCTCAGAGAACGTATGGGACATGCTGAAGCAGGGATTCGGAATCCAACAAGTCTGCCTCCCGTGTTTCTGAACTCTGGGATCCTGGCTGCCACCAGTCCCAGAAGGGGTTTGAACCTGGTGAGGCTGGGCTGGTGGAGTGTCTGCCTTCCCTTCGGGAGGAGCACCTGCAGCTTCCAGACTCCGCAGGTCGAGCTACAGCCTGAAAGGGATGAATCCCCAACCCCATGCAAGCGCTCAGCAACTCGGAAAATGCTTTTTTTTTTTTTTAAGATTTATTTATTTTTATTACAAAGTCAGATATACAGAGAGGAAGAGAGACAGAGAGGAAGATCTTCCGTCCATTGGCTCATTCCCCAAGTAACCACAATGGATGGAGCTCAGCAGATCCCAAACCAGGCGCTAGCAGCCTCCTCCAGGTCTCCCACATGGGTGCAGGGTCCCAAGGCTTTGGGCCGTCCTCAACTGTGGGAGATCTGGAAGAAGCTCTGGGCTCCTGGCTTCAGATCGGCTCAGCTCTGGCCAATGTGGCCACTTGGGGAGTGAATCATTGAATGGAAGATCTTTCTTTCTGTCTCTCCTCCTCTCTGTATATCTGACTTTGCAATAAATAAATAAATAAACAAACAAACAAACAAATCATTTTTTTCTTAAAGAAGATGAGCAGAATGAATCGATGGGTCGTGCCCAGTATCAGCAGGGGTGCTGGCACACGCGTCTTTATGAGTGTAAATTGATACAGTTTTCTTGGAGGTCTATTATGGCAGGTGTTATTACAACTTTAAATGCAATTGACACCACAGATTACTCTCCCAGGAGCAGTAGGTTGAACCATATTAAGTCGCTGGTTTTGTAGGTCAAAACTGGCCTCATTTCTGCAATGGCATAGGGCTCAAGCTGATATTATAGGGCAGGTTGTGAAGCCTGGGAGGGACTGAAACCCGAGCTGTCAGTGTCTGGACAATCACTGGACTTCAAACATGTCAGTCAGGAATGTCAGACTCCCGTGCTGGGCAGGGTCGTCCAAAGCCTGACGCCTGTGAGTGCTGGGCTGGGTGGGGAGGATGACCCCTCCCAGTTGGAGGCAGGCATTCCCATTCTCCCAGGGGTGGTACTGATGGTTTTATTTAAAGGGACAGAAGGACATGTATGCACCTGTCCATGCGTGGTGTGAGTATAATCTAGCAAACACGTGGGGGTGTCTCTGTCTTCACAAAAGAGTAAACAAAGTGTTTTTTTTTTTTTGTGGGTCAACAGGCTAATCCCCAACTATGAGTGCCAGCATCCCCATATAGGCACCGATTCATGTCCCAGCTGTCAGGGCTGGGCAAGGCTAGACTAGTACCTGAGAATTCCCTCCAGGTTTCCACATGGGTCCAAGTATGTGGGCCATCACCTGCTTCTCCTCAAGTGTGCATTAGCAAGAACCTGGAATGCGAGAGCAGTGCCAGGCCTCAAACCACGCACCCCAAGATGGAGTGCAGGGTTTTTTTTTTTTTTTAAGATTTATTTATTTTTATTGGAAAGTCAGAGAGGAGGAGAGTCAGAGAGGAAGATCTTCTATCCATTGATTCATTCCCCAAGTGGCTGTAATGGCTGGAGCTCAGCAAATCCGAAGCCAGGAGCTTCTTCCGGGTCTCCCATGCAGGTACAGGTTCCCAAGGCTTTGGGCCATCCTCGACTGCTTTCCCAGGCCACAAGCAGGGAGTTGGATGGGAAGTGGGGTTGCCGGGCCATGAACCGGTGCCCATATGGGATCCCAATAAGTGCAGGCAAGGACTTTAGCCACTTGGCTACTGTGCTGGGCCCGGAGTGCGGGTGTTTTAATGGCGCCTCACATACCCTCCCTCACTATGCAGCTTTGGAAATCCATGTAATACTGTCAGAGTTCCAGTGGCGAGTGTTTTGTCTGCTTAGGAAACCCAGTCCTTCCCCAGCCTCCCGGGGTCCCCTCTGTCTTGCAATCTCCATGCTGGTTCTTACTGTTCTCAATCATCATTGCTTGCTTCTCCAGGCCACAGGCTGTGCTCCCCGCTCCCAGGCAGGTGTCTGGGTAGAGGAGTCAGTGCAGTCCCATACCCAGGCTCACAGGGAAACCCAGCATCCGCTGTGCGCCTGGTAGGCAGTACTCCTTCCACTTCCCTTCTGCCCACCCCCCAGCCTGGCAGGGGACAGCCGCTTGCGAGGCACACAGGGATGCTTGGATGAAGGTTGTGAGATTGGCCTTAGCTTTGGGCCCTGGAGCTGAGGCCCCACCCCTGGGCCAGTGGGGCTCTCGGCCCATCCCCCCTTACTGTTGTGGGGGAACCTAGCCTACCCCCCCGTGTATCCTCTCCAGTCTTCATCGGCTGCCTGCTGCTGTCTGCACCTGTGTTTGGCTACCTGGGTGACCGGCACAGCCGCAAGGCCACACTCGTCTTCGGGCTCCTGCTGTGGTCAGGGGCTGGTCTCGCCGGCTCCTTCATCCCCAGTCAGGTGAGTGCTCACATCCCTCTCCCAGACCCCAGCCCTAGGACTCCCCAGACTCCGTGCCTCTGGCCTCTCCCCACTTCCTCTCTGGTGTAGGTCTGTCAGGGCCAGGTGGCTGGCTCAGACGCTGATGGGGAAGGAGGTGAGGGCATAGCCTCCCCACAGGCCTGAGTCCGAGCTGAGCGGAGCCGTTGGACTTTCTTAACTGGAAGCTTCCTCTCTTGCACCTCCTCCTGTTGCTTCTCTTGGCTTCGTTTCCAGCTCTGCTGTGTTGAGAAACTGGCTTGGTTAGCAGAGGCCAGGCCCAGAGGGAGCTCCCCTCTGCTCCCCCGCCATGCAGGCGGTGGCTGAAGGCACCAGCAGGGGGCGCTTGTGTGATGTGGGGAGCCTGGGATGTGCACTGGGTGGACACCAGGTGCTTGTGGCTGAGACCCTCCCCACCCCCTGAACACCTGTGTCTCCACTTGTCCTCGGCCCCATCCTGACGAATCCTCGGGCCCCTCTGTCCCATGGACGGTTTCTGCACTCACCGTGGTCTTGTGCCCGCTCACTCAGTACTCCTGGCTCTTCTTCCTGTCCCGGGGGGCTGTGGGTACCGGCGCGGCCAGCTACTCCACCATCGCGCCCACTGTGCTGGGCGACCTCTTCGTGGGGGACCAGCGGACCCGCGTGCTGGCTGTCTTCTACATCTTCATCCCTGTTGGAAGGTTGGTGCCCAGCCCTGGAGCCCCTGCCCTGGGTGGAAAACAGGCCAAGGTTGTGAGAAGCAAGGTGTTGGGCTGGGACTAGGAGGGGGCGTGGCAAGGAAGGCGAGGCCCAGAATCCTTGCCATGTTGCTTTACCTCCCTGAGTCTCAGTCTTGCCCTCTGCAGATGGGCACAGGTTGTGGGGGTTCTTAGAGATGGAATCAGGCCACTTCTGGGACTAGTCTGAGAGGGTGAGATTGACAATCATGGGAGGGCACTGACCCCTGAGAATGGGCCCAGTGCTTTGGCGTGTACCCTGGCAGGACTGAGGCTTTGGTGAGGGGTGTGGGCTGGGGCGAGAGAAGCTCTGGGGTGAGGTGCCCGGCAGCCAGAAGTTGCTGTTGGCTGCCCAAGGGCAATGGCCATCCAGCCCTCCTGTGCCTACCTGCCTGAGGGAAGGGGCTTTGTGCTAGCTGCCCCCTTCCTGCCCTCACGGGCCCCCCCTTCTCTGTTTCAGCGGGCTGGGCTACGTGCTGGGGTCGGCTGTGGCGGAGCTGACTGGGAACTGGCATTGGGCCCTCCGGGTGAGTCCGTTTGTCTTCCCTCCGCTTTCCCCCTGGGCTAGCAGGGACTTTCCAGCCTCCCGTGGCCTTGGCCACTTGGCGCAGGACCAGGCGCCACGGGGTGCGGGGAGGCTCAGACAGGGGGGCGCCATCAGAGGGTGGTCCCACATGGGCAGCTTTGGGCCTCCCCTGGAGCAAGGGGCCCTGCAGTCCAGTCCTGGCTAGACCATGTGCTCTTCAGCCTCGATGGGTCTGTCTGTGAAGTGGGGGCAGTGAGTGCTGCCCAGGAAATCTTCAGGGCTCTGAGGCAAGGGATGGGCAGAGTCTGGCCCAGGGACAGTGAGGTGAGAGTGAGGTGCCCTCCCCGCCTTTTTTAAAAAAAAAGATCTATTTATTTTTATTGGAAAGGCAGATCAGATTTATAGAGAGAAGGAGGGTTAGAAAGATCCATCCACTGGTTCATTCTGCAAATGGCCACAACGGCCGGAGCTGAGCTGATCTGAAGCCAAGAGCCAGGAGCTTCCTTTGGGTCTCCCATGCAGGTGCAGGGTCCCAAGGCTTTGGGCCATCCCTCACTGCTCTCCCAGGCCACAAGCAGGGAGCTGGAAGGAAAGTGGAGCAGCCGGGACGCAAACCGGTGCTCATATGAGGTGCCGGTGCTTACAAGTTGAGGATTTAGCCACTGAGTCATCATACTGGGCATGAGAGTAAGTCCCTTACAGACTGGCAGCTGGGCTGACTCAGGGAGCGGGGCCGGCTGGAAGCATATCCTGGGCCCTCTCGGGACTGCAGTTACTGTTGGCTCAGACTAGGGGTCTGGTCCTGCTTGCAGGTCTGGGCTGAGTCTCCCAGGCACTGAGCAAGCTGGCATCTGGGGCCATGGAAGGCAGAATGGGCACCTGCGGTGGGGTGGGCTGTGAGTGGACAGGTCTAAGAACTTCCTCCTGGTCTGAGCTCACTGAAGGGTGCCTCGAGCAGCTTGTTCACTTCCCCGTCCCTGGGGGCTGGGCAGGAGGCCACCAGGACAGAATGACAGGGCAGGTGAAGGTGTGAGCCAGGAGGAAGGCCAGTTCTGGGGGCAGTGGTCAGGGTCCATGGATGCTAGGGGGACTGCCCGCTCCCCAGAGGGGCTGGGAGGAGTTGGGAGACAGTGAGTGTCCTGCCCTGTGCAGAACTTATGCTTAGGACTGGAGCCTGCCCCTCCTGCGGCCCTGAGCTCCCGGGCCTTGGCCACTCACCCGGGTCTCCTGGAGGCAGAGCCAACAGCCCTGAGTTCCCGGGCCCTTCTCTCCTTAGATCCTGCCGTGCCTGGAGACCGTGGCTTTGATCCTGCTTATCCTGCTGGTTCCAGACCCACCCCGAGGAGCTGCCGAGAAGCAAGGGGTTATGGCCACAAAGTACCCAAGGAGCAGCTGGTGTGAGGATGTCAGATACCTGGGGCGAAAGTGAGTGTCCCTGCCCCCACCGTCAAAAGATACAGAAACCCCTCTACAACTCCACATCTCTGGCTTCCAACCTCTGCCTCCAGGGAGCCCTCCTGGGTTGATCCTTTTCCTCTTCTCAGCTCCCATTTGCCAATTGAGATGCCCCTCCACTTTTTAGCCTCCATTGCCATGGCCAGGAGCTTATCCAAGCCTCTCCAGGGGCCACGGGAGGGCACTGTCCTCTGTGCCAAGTCTGATGTGCCAGGTGGGGCATGCAGGAGCCAGCTGTGGGGAAGTGGGGGCAGTGGACTAGATTCATCTGCCTGGGTCCATGGTCCGGAGCCTGGAGGAGTGAGCTCCAAGAAAGCAAGGCAGGAGCTTCCCCAAGGCTGTGGTGTTGAATCAGGTAGCCCTTGTAGTGGGGGGCATAGGAGGGAGCGAGGCACAACATGGGCAGGGGCTTTTGCTGTTACTGGGGAGGTGGGGGGCAGGGAGAGACTCAGAGGTGCAAGCCTGGAGTTTCCAAGGGGTGGAGCTGTGGACGTACCAGCCTAGATTCCATGAGGGAGTGAGTGGGGGTGTAAATGGGCTAGCCTGGAGTCCCTGGAGGGGGTAGGGTCTTGGGCTGGCCCCTTGAACCCCAAGCCCTCTCACCACCTCAGCCGGATAACCCTCTCTTGCAGCTGGAGCTTCGTGTGGTCGACCCTCGGGGTGACAGCCATGGCCTTTGTGACGGGTGCCCTTGGCTTCTGGATGCCCAAGTTCCTGTTCGAAGCCCGCGTGGTCCACGAGCTGCAGCTTCCCTGCTACCGGGAGCCGTGCGGCAGCCAGGACAGGTGAGGGTCTTCTCCAGGGCTGCGTGGGCAGGGCCCAGGAGCTGCTTGGTGGCTGGGGGTCGGGTCCTACCCGTCACCAAGCTCCCCACACCTTGCCTTCTCTGGGACACAATCTCTGCCTTACCCCATTTTGGGGTTGTTGTGGGAGTCTGGAAGACGTTGGCTAGGGAGAGGGTGAGGCTGCGGGGGTGGGGCTTGGATGCGGGGAGGCCTAGGCAGCCTTCCTTTGAGATAGTCTTTGGTGTCGTCCGTGAAGGGAGCCCATTTTGCAGATTGTAAATAGAGGCCCAGGAGCCCTTGTTACTTCTCTGGTTCAGGGACTGCATTTGTTTGTCCTGTGCCTCGTTGGAGGCACTGAGAGAACTGGGAGAGTGGCTGGGGGAGTAAGGAGGGGGTACAGTGCCCTCGGGGATGCCTGCTCCCACTTCCTGCCCATCTTCTATTTTTAAATTTTTATTTGTTTTTAATTTATGTGAAACACGGAGAGAGAGACAGAGAGACAAAGAGAGAGAGCGATCTTGCATTCATTGGTTCACAAAGTTCTAGCACTAAGAGCCTAGACCCAAGCCCCGCCCCAGGGGTTTCCCAAACGCTCGGCCATCCCTGCATCCCTGCACACTGACAGGAAGCTGAGCTGGGACTGCAGCCCCACGCCCCAGTGGGAGATGCAGGATCCCAAGGGGCGTCTTTGTTGCTGTCTCAGATGCCTGCTCCTCGCCTTCTGTGCTCACCACGTGACTCCATTCTCCACAGACCCAAACAACCCCCAGATCCTGGGTCAGGGACAGCATCCTATCCTGCCTGCTCCTCCAGGAAGCCCTCCAGCCCAGACTCCTCCTCCATCAATCTGGCTGCTTCGTCTCGGCCTCCGTTCTGTCAGTTCTTCCCCTGACAGTCCGCTATGCTGGGCTCCTTAGGGTCGGGGCAGCGATGGTTTCCTGCGGGATGCACTGATGCCAACAACCACAGCCTCCTCTCTCACTTCTCCCTGGCACCAGACAAAGCCTTGCAAACTTCCAGGATGCCCTTGGTCTCTGGCTTGCCCATGCCTGGGCCCTGGCCATGCCCTCTGCGAGTTGCTGCTTGTCTCCTCAGGGCTCCATAAACTTGACCTTCAGGCCCTGTGCCAAGTGCTGTTCGTGAAGAACCTCTTGAGGAAGGCGTTCCTAGGATTGCAGCTTTGTAAATGATGAGCGGGAGGATCAGAGAGGTGAAGGGACTGGTCCGAGGTCCTGTCGCTGACTGGTGACAAAGCCCAAGCCATCGGCCTGCTGAGCTAGCGCTCTGACGTACTGCGTCTCGCCGCCTCTGCCTGATGACCGTGCATCTTCCCTCTTGGCGCAGGGTGCACAGTCAGTGGGTGAGCTCGTGGAGCGAGGCTGATGTGTGTGTTGGCTCTGTCGCAGCGTGGCTCTGTCTCCAGAGGTGAAGATGGAATGATTGCCATAGCAGCTTGAAAAAGTGCAGCAGAGGAGCTGGCCCTGATGTAGCATGTTAAGCAGCTGCCTGCAGTGCTGGCATCCCAAATGGATACCAGTTTGAATCCTGGCTGCTCCACTTCTCATCAAACTTCCTGTTGATACACCTGCGAGAGTAGCAGAGAATAGCCAAAGAATTACACACACACACACTCACACTCACACACACACTCACACACACACTCACACTCACACACAGGAAAGAAGTGGGGAAGAGAAAGTGAGAGATCTTCTACCATCTGCTGGTTTCCTCTCCAAATGTGTGCCACGACTGAAGCTGGGCCAGGCTGAAGCCAGGAGTCAGGAGTTCATCCTGGTCTCCCACAGGGCTGCAGAGGTCCAGGCACTTGGGCCATCCTCTGCTGCTTTTCCAGGCGCATCAGCAGGAAGCTGGATCAGAAGTGGGGTTCCTGGGACACAGCAGCATCCATATAGGGTGCCGGTGTCACAGACAGTGGCTTTTCCAGCTGAGGCACATGCCAGCCCCCACTCATAACTGTGGAGGTCACAAGTCCAACATGGTGTCCCTGGGGCAAGATGCAGATGACAGCAGGATCCAGTTCCCTCCACAGGCTCAGGGAGAAGCTGTCCTTGCCTGTTTGTTAGCGGCTGCCGGATCTCCGGGCTTACAGCCGCGTCACTTGCTTCTGCCTAAAGTTTCCTCCAGCGAGGATGTTTTGATCGGATGTTTTGATCAGCACCATTAGTGCTCACCTGGAGGACAAGCTCTCCTAGCCAAGTTCCTTTGTCCTAAGCGTAAAGTCTAGCTCTGCAGAGGTGGCAGCCTTTATGGGCTCTGGATGCTATGATGTAGAGACATTGAGTGCCCGCAGAGGGGCCGAAGGGGCTGTTGGTGGGGCCGTGCGTAGACCTCACTGAGACTGTATCCCCTGGGTTAGTATGAGCTAGCCAGCGGGGCAGGGGTGGGAAGCTGCGGCATGCCAGCTCAGCCAGTGGGAAATCTTTCCTCATACAGGTTCTGCTGGCCTGAATGAGGGTAGGTAGTGAGCTTCCCACCCTGGGGGGCATGTAAGTGCAGTTAGGACAGTCCCTTGCCCGGGCTATTGAACAGGGAGACAGCACAGTAGTCTGAGGCCCTGGAGGGCACTGTTGGCATGGAGAAACTGGGATTCCGGGAAGGCCTTGTGTGGGCAGCCGGGAAAAGACAAGACCAGGGCTGGGCATGCTTGCTGGGCACACCTTGGCTCAAGGGCCAGTGTGTGTGTGTGTGTGTGTGTGTGTGTGTGGCAGGGGGCCAGCCGGGCTGTCCGCCTGCCCGAGTCCTCAGGCTCACAGGGCTTGGACGGAGACGTCATTGCTCTGGCACTGGGATCCTTGACTTGGCCGAGCTGAAGCCTGGCATGACTTGGAAGGCCTGGAAGGATCGGTGAGGGTAGGGTAAGCTGCCAGAGGACTTGCTTGCTTCTGACTGGCAGACAGAGGGCCAGGAGGTGCTGGCTCTGCCCTTGAGGGGCTGTGTGACCTCTAGCCAGTTCTTGCGTTCTCTGGGCTCTGCACTGTTTCTGTCCACTGCGGGGCTGGGGTAGGGAGCGAACCCACGTGTCCTCGCCTGTGGGGTGCATTCTCATAGCAGGTGCTTAGGAGAGAGGTGGAGAGGTGGTTTTTTCATTTTTTTAAAAGTTGCTGAGATTGTTTTAAAAAATTATTTATTTCTTTTTGTCAGAAAGGCAGAGTGACAGAGACAGAGGGGGAGACGCAAAGATCTTCTGTCATCTGGTTTACTCCTCAGATGTCCACCACATCTGGAGCTCGGCCAGGCTAGATCCTGGAGCCGGAAAATCCATCCAGGTCTTCTACGTGGGTGACCAGGAGCCAAGGACTTGGAACATCATGAGCTGCATGAGCAGGGAACTGGGTCAGAAACAGGACAGCCGGGACTTGAACTGGCACTCCAGTAGGGCTGTCAGCATTGCAAGTGGAGGCGCAACTCGCTGTGTTGGACCCCGAGTTGTTTCCTTTGCTTGTTGGCAACCATCATCTTTACAGATGCCAACAGGTGATCTGGAAATAACAGGGTGCTGGCCACTCCCCGCCCCTCCCATACTTCTGGAAATGTCTGGGAGGGGAGGCTGGCCACATGGAGAGGGGTCAGGGGAGGACAGGGGTGTTCTGGGTCAACGGGACGGCGTGGACAATGGTAGGGACATGGCAGAGCACAGGGAGTGTTTGGAGGATTCTTGGGCATTTGGGAGCTGAAAGAGGGGCTGGGGCAGAGAGCAGGTCAGCAGGGCCAATCGGTGGGGCCGCCGGAGGAGGCCACCAAGCTCCTGGTGGTCACTTATATTTCTGAGGGTTCATGCAGACCTTGCTCTCCGCTGTCCCTCTGGGGCTCCTGGAAAAGCAGGCTCGGTGTGTGGGGGGGTGCCCTGTGTTATGGCGGGTTAAGCCACCGTCTCTGACACCTGTAGGGGCGCTGGTTCATGCCCCAGCTGCTCTGCTTCCGAGTCAGCTCCCTGCTATTGTGCCTGGGAAAGCAGTGGAGGATGGCCCAAGGGCACCGACTCCTGTACCCATGTGGCAGACTCAGAGGCAGCTCCTGGCTCCTGGCTTTGGCCTGGCTCAGCCCTGGCAGCTGGGGCCATCTGGAGGAAAGGACCAGCAGATGGAAGATCTCCGTGGCCCTCCCTCTCTGTAACTCTGCCTTTCGAGTAAACAAATAAATCATTAAAAAAAAAAAAAAAAAAAAAAGGTTTGAGGGAACTGGAAGGCCAGAGTGGGTGAAAGTACACGTTGGAATCCTGGCTTTACCTTCCAACAGGGTCATCTCGATCTTGCCTTCCTCATGTGTGCACCCGGGAATTCGGGGGGCGGGGAGCTGGGGAGCTCACTCCACATACGCTTCATTTCTCACATTCCAGGCTTAGGCTCTGTGCTCCCAGCATAGAGTCAGGGAAGCAGATCAGATGTGCCCTGTTCTCGGGGAGGTCACGGGCTGGGGAAGAACTCCGATGACAGAACACAAAAAGTGCTATGGAAGGAGTCAGCAAGGCAACAGGGGAAGGCGTTCCCCAGGAGGGGACATTGGCAATGGGCCTTGAAGGATAAGTAGGAGTTTGGTGGGTGAGAAAACTTGTAAAGGATGTTCTGGAGGAAGGAATGAGCTATGAAGTGGGGAGTGGGGTGGGAGAGGAGGGGGCTGAGGTTTGCCAGAGTCAGATTATGATGGTCCATGTGTGCCAGGCAGAGCCGGACCACGCAGGGCGGCTGTGAGAGCTGGTCGGGGCATGGGCAGGCAGGAGGCCTGTCTGTGTTTTTACAAAGCACCCTCTGGGAGCCTGCCCTGCTTTTTTTTTTTTTTTTTTTTTTGGAGTGATTTACTTATTGTTTTGAAAGGCAGAGTTACAGAGAAAAGGAAGACAATATGAGAGCTTCCATCTGCTGGTTCCTTCTCCACATGGCCACAATGGCTGGACCAGGGCCAGACTGGATCCATGAGTCCCTCTGAGTCTTCCAAGTGGAAGGCGGGGCCCCCAGCACATGCGCCATCTTCTGCTGCCTTGCCAGGCACGTTAGGGAGCTGGACTAGAAGAGCAGCATTTGCTGCCCATGTGGGACGCTGGCACTGGTTTTGCAGACAGAGGTTTGACCTGGGGCACCAACACACTCTTCCCTGGTAGGAGGGGGATTCTGAAGTACAGTTCCCCCTAAGGAGAAACCCTATGGAGTTGCAGCAGGTGCAGGCAGAAGTGGGAAGGGTGGTGGTGGTGGGGTGGCGGTCCAGAGGAGGTGCTTGAGAGGGGTTCAGCGATGGGCAGGGAAGGGTGGATCCAGGGAGGGGCCTGAGGCCGACATAGACGCTCTGAACTTCCTCTTGGTGTGGGGTTTCAGGGAGACTCTGGGATGGAGACTACTGGAAAGTGTGGCATACTGTGAGGACCACTTGCATGGCCAGTGCTATCCTCAAGATGATGCTGGAAAATGGATTGTGAGCGGGAGTATGTGGGTTCCTGGCTCCAGGAGCACCCACAGTGGAGCAGGGGGATGAGGTAATGAGGCCCAGGGCCCCCAGCCACCGCGATCTTTATGGTACCAGATCATGCACTGGGCTAGGGATAAGACAAAGAGGATGGGGGCAAGGACGAAGTGCCCCTATCCAGAGCTGGCCTCCTGACCATGCCCTCTCTGCTTTTTCCCATCAGCCTGATTTTCGGGGCATTGACCATTGTGACTGGCATCGTTGGGGTCATCCTGGGGGCAGAGGCATCAAGGAGGTACAAGAAGATCAACCTCAGGGCTGAGCCCCTCATCTGCGCCTTCAGCCTGCTTATGGCAGCCCCCTGTCTCTACCTGGCTCTTGTCCTGGCCTCGGTCTCCCTGGTGGCCTCTTACGTAAGTGCAGGTGCTGTGGGAGATGGGCTGGGTGGGCTGTGTCCGTGCATACAGGCTCACGTGTGCCAATTTACACTTCTTCTTTATACATGACCTCTGTACTTTTTACAGTAAAAAAGAGATTTATTTATTTTTATTGCAAAGTCAGATATACAGAGAGGAGGAGAAACAGAGAGGAAGATCTTCCATCCAATGATTCACTCCCTAAGTGAGCACAACAGCTGGTGCTGTGCTGAATCAAAGCCAGGAGCCAGGAGCCAGGAGCCAGGAACTTCTTCCAGGTCTCCCACGTGGGTGCAGGGTCCCAAGGCATTGGGCCGTTCTCAACTGCTTTCCCAGGTCACAGGCAGGGAGCTGGATGAGAAGTGGAGCTACTGGGATTAGAACCGGTGCCCATATGGGATCCTGGTGCATTCAAGGCCACTGCGCTGAGCCCTATCCACTTTCTTGATGCAGGTATTATATTCCCAGCTGGAACTTTCTGCCCAGGATAGATGGCCGTGGGCAGGCTCCCCTCTTTTGTCCTTCATGTTTGCCCTGCCATAATGTCCTCATGACCCTGTGGGTAAGCTTGAGAGGGGCAGCCACTCCCACTGGTTACCATGACTAGTGTGGCATGAAAAGGGTTGGAAAGGGGGCGATGTGCAATTGAGAAAATGAGAAAAAAGATGGACACAAGATAAAGACTATAAAAGTGGCCAAAGGGAAACCCCCTTTTCTGAGAAAGGAAGTCGACCTAGAAGGCTTGCTACCTCAATCTTGTGTTGAAATGCTTGGGGAATCAAATGACAGCAGGTGATGTGACATGAACATTGACAGCTACATCCCATATCGACGTTGACCACCCGGAGCTTGATGATGAGGAAGCAGCAACCCGGCCCATGTATGGAGGTCTGTATATGATTGTCTCAAGGGTATCTGAAAACACACAGTCCTGTGGTCTTGAACGTTCTACCTCCCTCACAGGCCTTGACCTTGGTCTCAGACTTTTGCCTACTCACAGACCATCGCCTGTAGACTTTGATCTTGGCCTCCAGCACCAGCCGTCTGTGATCTCAAGATTCCAAACATAGTCTGCCCGACTCTTCTTTATCAAGTCATGCTGTTATTTTTTATAAACTGCTTACGGCACTGGTGTCCTCTTGCCTCACTCCTGACCCATGTGGATCCCCCACCCCCAGACCTTCCCAAAGCCCAAGCTCCCCCGATGCCATGTGACCTGTATCAGGGCACCCCGGGGTGGGGTTCACGAACCCGCTTCTGTGGCTCTAATGTGGGGGGATAGAGTCAGCGTCCAGCTAGCCAAAGGCCGGTTTCTTTCTTGAGAGGCACTGGACTGTGGGAGTGTGTGTACACATGAGTTGTGTGTGTGCTTGAGTGTGTATGCATGTGTGTTTGCGTGTGCATGAGTGTGTTATGTTTGTGTGTTATGTAAGCACATGAGTTGTGTGTCTGTATGAGTGAGTGGGCTGTGTGCATGCTTGAGCATGTATGTTTGTGTAGGTATGCAAGCACACGAGTTGTGTGTGTGCATGAGTGTGCGTGAGCTATGAGTGGGTGAGCGTGTGTGTTTTGCCTGAGGCCCCCTGTTTAGTCTTAGAAAGGACTTGGGGCAGGCGCTGTGGTTCAGCAGTTAAGGTGCTGTTGGGCTAGCTGGTGTTGTGGCACAGGATTCAGTCGCTGTTAGCAGTGCCAGCATCCTTCATCAGCGTGCCAGCTTGAGTCCTGGCTGCTCTGCTTCCGATGCAGCTCCCTGCTAGTGTACCTGGGAAGGCAAGAGAAGACGACCCAAGTGTGTGGGTCCCTGTCTCCCAGGTGGAGACTAGGACCGAGTTCCTGGCTTCTGTATTTGGCCTGGACTTGGCTAGTGCAGCCGTTTGGGGAGTGAACCAGTGGATTCTCTCTCTTTTGCTTTCTCTTTCTGTCACACTTTCACATACATAAATCTTTACAAAATGTATTTTTAAAAAAGGCCCACTTGGGAGGCTTGTTTCCATAGCAGAGTATCTGGTTTAAGCCCCTCTGCGTTGAATCTGGCTCCCTGCTCATGCATAGCGTGGCAGGCAGTGGTGATGGCTCCAGTACTTGGGAGCCTGCCGCTTGTGTGGGAGACGCTGAGAGAGTTCTGTGTTCCTGGCATTTTTAGAGTGAACTAGTAGGTGAAGGATCTCTGTGTGTCATTCTAACTTTCAAATAAGCAAAACTTAAAAACAGCAGGAAAGGGCCTCTTCGATAAACCTCCCCTTGGGGAACACTTAAGACGCTTCTTTTTATATTTTTTATTGAAGATTTATTTATCTCATTGGAAAAGCAGAGTTAAAGAGAGAGGAGTGCATTCATCTACTGGTTCACTTCCTAAATGACTGCCATGGTGGAAACTCCACTGGCTAGGGGCTTCTCCTGGGTCTCCCACATGGGAAAGTGAAACAGCCAAGATTCGAACATGTGTCCATATGAGACATCGGTGCCGCAGGCAGTCGCTTTACTTACTATGCCACCATACTGGTCCTGAGAATTCTTCAGTCTGCCAAGTCCTCAAGGCATGTTTGGCCTCTCGGTCTCTTAGGGAAAGGTGCTGCACACCCACTGCCCTCAGCCCTGGCTTCAGCCGACATTCTGGGGACTGGGACAATCTTGCCAGTGTCCCTTCTGCTTATGCAGCCCACTTGACGGATTGGAAAAGGAGGCCCAGGGACAGTGGCAAAGAGTGGATGAGGCAAGACTAATTAAGGGGGGTATTTCAGAAAGTTCTTGGGAAAACAGAATTAAAAGATGAGTTTATTTGGGGGCAAGAAAATCCATGCATAGCTTTTTAAAAATGGTATTCTTTATCTATGACCTAACTGTGAATGCCTCACAGTTCCCTGGCTGAGGGAGGGGAGGCCCATGGGAGCTGGTGGCAGTGATGAGGCTGGGGCAGATGGAGACCCATTGAGGCCTGTGCCTACCCTCACCAGCTGGGGCTGTGGACACCACCCCTTCTGCCAACTTTGCTTCTGCCACTGTCTTGGTTGGCACTGGGAGGCAGTTCCTTGGCTGGCTTTCGGGGACACAGCTGCCTCACACCTGCAGCCTGGCACCTCGCCAGGGCTGCGTGGCTCATCTAGAAATGACATTGCGTTTTGATGGATCAAGCCGGCTGGAGGAGTTGCTTGAGGGTGCCATCCTGCCCTGAGATTCAAACTTCAGCCCCCTGAGCACCATAACACCCTTTCCATAGGGGGTCCCTGGCTGCTGGAGTGCTGCGTCTTGGTCTCCAGGCCCGTCTTCCTTGAGTCACGGTGACTTCTGCTCTGACTGCTCCCAGCCCCAGTAGTGAGTTTCCCAGGGCCCAGGTCTGGGCAGCAAGGTTTCTGCACACTCCAACCCTAAGCATGGTGTCAGGCATCTGGGCTGGGATGGGGCAGACCACAGATGAGCTGATGGTCTCCGTTTATGAAATCAGCAAGTGTCTACAGAATGCTGACGAGGCAGTGTGTGCTGGTTTAAACATGGTCGTGGTAGTAACCAGCATGGACCAGAACTTCTGTCTTCAAGAATTTATGTTCTAGTTGGGGGAGACAGAAAACAAACAGGATACTTGAGTACTATCTATCACACTGCAGGAGCTAATACGTGCTTAGGAGATAAGGAGTGTGAGGAGGAACTGGGAGCGTGAGGATGTTTAGGGGAAATGCCTTCATTTACTTGAGACAGGTGGACAGATTTTCCATTTGCTGACTCATTTCCCAAATGTCTGCTACAACTGGAGCCAAGCTGAAGCCAGGAACCAGAAACTCAGTCCAAGTCTCCTACATGCACGGCAGGGACCTGGCCACTTGGTCCTTTACTGCGGCCTCCCAAGATTTGCTTTAACAGGACATTGGAATTGTGAGCTGGAGCCAGGACTTGAACCCTCAGGCACTCGGCTGTAGGATATGACTCCCAATGGGTGTGCTAATCACCGTACCTGACGCTCCCTCCCAGGAGGAGACTGTTGGATGAAGACCTGTGGGGAGCTGAGTGAGGGGATGAAGTGACTGTTTGGAGAGTTCCAGGCAGAGGGAGAAGGGACTGCGGGAGGCGAGAATAGAACGATGGTGACAGATCTTACAGCCCTTTGGGCGTCAAGTGGAATGGGCTTTTGCTGGGAATGAGGTTAGCAAGTGGCTTTTGTCCAGTAGAGCTACTGCCATGATCATCTGGCTTTGCCCTTTATTCTATTATCATAGTACATTGATGGCATCTATACAATTTTTTGTTCAAGAAAAGATTTGATTTATTTGAAACAGGGAGGGAGATGGAGAGAGACAGTGAAAGAAATAGAGAACTTTTATCAGCTGGTTCACTTCCCCAAATGGCTACACTGGCCAGGGCTGCCCCAGCTGAAGCCAGGAGCCAGGGACCCCCCTCATCTAGGTCTCCCATGTGAGTGGCAGGGTCCCTCGTACTTGAATAATGCTTCTTTTCCTGGTACGTTAGCAGGAACTGGATCCAAAGTGAAGTAGACAGGACTTGAAGTGGTGCTGATATGGAATGGCAGTGTTGCACATGGCAGCTTAACTCGCTCTGCCGTGGTGTTGGCCCCTATATGATTATGTCATATCAAACTTGTTTGTATTCCTAGGGCGTATTCTCCCTTGACCGTGGTATACAATTAGTCTTACAAGTTTCTAGGTTTATATTTCTTAATTGTATTTTGCCAAGGATTTGTTGTGCCTATGTTGTAGGGGATATTGGACCGGAGTTCCTATTCCGCTTTTGTTTTTTTAGAAAGGTTTATGGAAGATTTGTCTTCATTCATCTTCAAATATTTGGTAGACTTCACCATGAAACCATTTGGTACTGGTCTTTGTTTGTCAGAAATTTCTTAATTGTTGACTCAATATTTGCTTGTTATAGGTCAGTTCAGATTTTCCTTTTTCTAAAACATTTATTTCTTTCTATTGGAAAGGTAGATAGATATACAGAGAGAAGGAGATACAGAGAGAAAGATCTCCCATCTGCTGGTTCACTCCCCA